TTTCAAGACTAACAATTTTGTGTAAAATATTAAAATTATAAAACATTTATAATTTTTATATTTACGAAATTAAAGGTGACCAAAATATCACCAGGCAACTTAAAGCAACGTTTTGCTGTTGGTAATTGTCTCAGACATATAATGATGGTGGGAATGAAGGGGGAGGGCGGTGATGAAAGGGAACCGAGGGTGAGACAATTTTGCCGTGGTGGGTTTTTCAGAATGGACCAAGCAGGAAAAGGAAATGGTTTTCTATAGATATTGTTCATTGTTGCATGTGCATGAAGACAATTAGCAGTCAACTGTCATATGCAAAACAGAAAAAAAGTTGCTCTGCCTTCAGTGAAAGGAGGATAGGTTATGCAAAAAGAACACAAAAACACAAGCAAGGTATCCTGTGAAAAAGGAAACTTACTTGGTTACAGTAATATTTACAGTTTACAGACAATGCTATTCAAACAAACAATAAGTACGACATATTTGTTCCTTCCCCTCCCTGGCTGAGACTCAGGTAGGGTGAGTGGCCAGGGGTGCCCACGCCAGGAAACCTGCTCTGCTTTCTTTGTGGCCCTTCGGATATATGCTGTGACATTTTCTTAATAGATTTGTGATGGTTAATGATTTCACATAATTATTTCTGTTACTCTTTGGAAACCGAGTAATAAATAGAGATGGTGATCCCTAGGTATTCATGGTTTTCCAGAGAAATGGTAGGATCCTAGAGTTAGAGAAATTGGGAGAAAAAAAGTCATTCATGTGATTAAATGGTCTAGTCTTGGTTCTCCAGATTGGAAATAGTTACATCGTTTGTTTTGGCCTGAAATTTTATAGCCTTGTTCTACTCAGCATGTCTTAGAGTAACCATCTTTTTTTTTTTTTTTAAATGACATGTTTCAACAAATGAAATATGAAACCGTATTTTAAAAGTGGCTGAAAATTTAGCAATTAGGAAATAAAATAACTAAGACCTAGCTAAGCACACATATGCTTTTTTTTGGTCACCTCCCTAATACTTTGCTGCTTTAGCGGTTAAGTTTGGTTTAATCTTTATATATGGATTTAGTGTGGGGCTAAACACTTTTGCATCATAATCTCATGTATCATGTTACGTAGGTAGTAGGGAGTATTATGTATGTTTTATGGACGACAAAGCCAAAGAGGTTAAATGATTTACCTATAGTCATAGAGATGATTTCTGGCAGAGATGAGATTTGAAACCAGGTCTTATAATTCCACAGTTGGTGACCTTTTTACCAATTGAGTAAAAGTCAATCTGTTATAGAAATCTTCCTATAAATTATTTTCTGTCAAGTGAGTTCCACGTTCCATTATTAAGTGAACCCGTATGCATACAAAAAAGATATATTTCAGTAGAATAAAAGATGCATATGATGCCCTGATAATAAAATTACATGTAAGAATATAGCATATTTTTATCATCATATACTTTGAGGAAAATAACTTCCCGATAAACCAATAATAAATTATGTGAAATACTGTCTGAAAACATGGATATTAATAAGTGCTGTAGTCAAAATACGTGAAAAAAAGACTCTCTAAGAGTAAAACCATACAGAAGTAGCTTGGTTTGTGAATTCCTTAAAGAATTATGTTAAGTGTGAGGGATAGAGGTACTTGAAACCAAGAGAAATTTATCCTGCAAACTTAGGCTATCAAAACCGTCCATACTATGTGGAGCCGCCTTGTTTCACCTTGGAATGAGGAAATAGGCAAATCTAATAAGGAGTCATTCAGCTGAGAAAGGTGGAAGACAAGCATTAGCAGTAACCGTGGACTGGTCAAAGCCCACTGCCTTCCTGCCCCTGCTCATTCCTCCGTGCGCCGTCGCCACCCAGACTGGGCAGGGAGACTCACAGGAGATGCCGGGTGGGCTCAGCTCTGTGATGGCAGGAATTCTCAGGCCACCATGACTGAATCTAATTTCTACTGCTGAGTAAGCGGCCCTTTCCTCCCACTAATTTACTTTTTTGTAATGAGTGAGTTAAAAAATTTTTTGATAAAAATTTTGCTTTCCGATATGGCTTGTAGGCTAGATGTGAAGATAAATGTTGGCCAGTACCTTATCGGACATTATATGGCTTTATTTTTAAACATTCTTTTCGCAAAGGGTCTGTTTATAGCACAGAGGCTCTCAGGAGACAAGTGGTGGGTAGGATAGTGGGTTGTGGCCCGAGGCACTTATTTGCTTGAGAAAAATTGTTGCCAGATGAGCAGTTTCAAAAAGCTCTGGCTGCTGATGTGGGTAGAGGATTAAAGAGAACAGTCTCTCCTCTCCTTTATAAATATTTGCTGGAGAGCTAATGGGTTTTTGTGTGCATGTGTATCTCTTTTTTCTATTGGGGAAATTGCAAGTAATATGGGAACATCCTGTGATAAATTATATAAAATAGAGGCTGAGAGAACAGATGGATGACGTAGAAGAAATGTGCCCCCACATCTCTGGTGTGTTATGGCTAAAGTCTTGTCATCTTATTTGTCTGGTGATTAACTACAGTGTAAATAGAGGAATATATGGGACATAAATAAATAGCTCTTCTATCAGCAGCCTTTAGTATAAATAGCCCTCGTCCCCATCAAAGAAACCATAAATGCTTTCGAAGCTTAAGTTTTACTTTATTTTGAATTAGTACCCACCCTGGAAGAATTCTGGTAAGAATAATACCATATGATCTCTTCTGAATGAACAGAGCCTTCATTGCATTTCTTAAGTGGCATAATAAATGGCTCTCCCAGTTCAATACCTGCAGATCTGATTAGATGCCTACATTAAGGTAGCAAGACTGGGAACAGTTTAAATCTGCATTTCCAAGAAAAGAAACGTAGGAAAGATCTCTAACTGTAATCATTAATACTGTGGAAAACAGAAATGTAGAAGTTTCTGAACATACTTTTCTTGGTTCCTATTATCTTCTCTTCAAAAGGAAGTTTAGTATGGCTACAGAATAATAAAACTACCATATTAACATTGTAATTTACCAATCCTCACTTTATGAAATTATGTATTAATAAATATTTTACAACCACAAATTACATCCCAAATTATTTACTTGCCACCTTTTGATAAACCGAGTTCTCTTATCAGGAGTCTGTGTCTTTGCAGAAAGCTCTCCCAGCAGGGCACAGGGAAGCCAGTCACCTCCTCATTCAGCCAGAAGAGCCCCACTGGGCTCCTGTGCGTGAGACAGGGCAGCAGGCGTGGTGTGAGAAGACAGAAAAACACTCTGGTAGCCCTAATTTCCACTGCCCCCAGAGATAAGGAGAGAGTGCCAGGGCTAATTCATCACCCTTATTCTGCCTGTCAGCCTAACCAGGGGGGGATGAAGAACCAGCTGGTCTTTCTTGTCCCAGGAACCTGTCCCCCACTTCCCTGCAGGGCTCTCAATCTCCTACCTCCTCTCCTGGAACCTCTTAGAGCTCTCTCCACCACCTGCCCCATTCTGGAAATAGCTTTCTTCACAGATCTGGGCGGTGGAGAGGAGACTTGGCTGTATCTTTTCTTGCTAAAACCTTGCTGTCTAGGCATTGGGAACCTGGAGCAGGAGAGACGTCAGGGTAGTTACAGGAGAGCACCCACATTAGAAAGGTTCCTTCAAGAGCACAGCACATACTTTTTCTCAGCCCATCCACTAGAGATGTCCTTTGGCTAACCAGGGTCTCGCTCCCTCACATAGGACAGTAGGGGAGTGAAACCTTTAACTGAAATATAACACACAGAAAAGTGCACAGATCCTAAGTGTACATCTCAAAGGATTTTCACAAATAGAAGCACCCATGTAACTGGTATCCAGATGAATTCTTCTTTTTATAATAATATTTATTTCCTAATTAAAAACACTGTAGTGATTTTGGAGGAAAAAAAATCAGCAAAGTGTAATAAAGGAAATAAAATTCACTCATTGTACCTACTCCCAAGAAAATGACCACTGGTAACATTTTGTTGGGTTTCCAGTCTGTCTGTCTGTCCCACCCCCTTGCACACACAGATATATACATCCAAAATACACACACACAGTGCCACAGCCTCTGAAGCTTCATGCCTGTATGTGCATACACACAGCAGTTCTAAGTAAATACAATACCATGACATACAGATTTTTAGAAATTTCTCTGCCTGGTTGTTGACTTCATCAACAGAATGGTGGGGAAAAAAAAGGAAACAAAACCATCTGTCTCCTTACTTGATAGCAGAAAAGGTCTCCTTGTAAGGGAAGATGTGAAAGAAGTGGCTGACATATACATGTGGATGATTCATAGATTTGATTTAGTATTTTCTCTTCTCTCAGAAAACTCAGCAATGATGGATGATAGAAAGTTCAGAGACTCTGAGTAGAGAACCTCTTAATGCAGAGCCGAGATGGGACCTGGACTCAGACTTCGCTGGCTTCTCTGTGAAACTGCACCCCATCTAAGCTCCAGCTTCACTTTTGCTGGAAGTCCAACTTTACTTTCACTTTTGAATTAGCTCTCTCACAGATACCTAAACAGAGCTTAGCCACAGAGACTCAAAATGTTGAAAGTTGGCTGGTGGTTTTGTGATTTGCAGGAAGATGATCTCTCCATCTCATTAAAATGGATGAGATGACGTCTTCACATGCTGGTTGCTTTGGTCCTCGTGGAATTTCCTGCTCACATTATTGGGAAGAGGGCAGTTGGCATCAACTTCCTGTTGCTATTGGTGGTGCAGGATGCGTTGCCCATCTGTCTCCTGGCTGACCATGGGCTCATCTTCTGCAGGAGTCCCTTCTGCTGGAAAAATTATTTCCCTCAGAACTGCCTATGCCTCTCTTTTTGTAAAATATATTTTCTTTTCTTATACACTTGGGATTTGAGTTATTACACATACAGAAACTATTAGATTTTTATATTCATAAAATGTCTTCTTCGCTCACTCCTCTCTTCTTGCTTGTTAAAAACATGTTCACAAATGGTATGGAGTGGTCTCTATGTTTACGCGTGCTCTTGTTGTATTGTCTTTGCAGTCGAAATCAGCTGTCCGCCCTGCCCGCCTGCCTGTGTGGTCTGCCTCTCAAAGTCTTAATCGCAAGTAACAACAAACTTGGATCACTGCCAGAAGAGATAGGTCAGCTCAAACAGTTAATGGAGTTGGTATGTTACTGATTTTTAAGATGCTCTTTTTTGTTGGTTTACTAATCATAGCCTATCACTGTTGTCAGAAAGACTTTTTGCTACAATTGGGTGAGGAGGAGCCTGTATTGTTGGAGGGCTATATATGATAAAAACATTAAGTAGGGAGAGGAACAGTCTTAGCTTAGCTCTAACACAGTTCCTGAATTTTGCAGGTTTCCTGTAGTTTATACTTCTTGAAATTCACAGGCTTTACAGCTCCTGAAGTTTACAGGTTGTCATATAATATTAGGTCATTTTTTGTCACACTGTATATAAGTTTTTAATAATTATGGATAAACTGGAAAAATAATCTACACATAGGTTAGTAGACCCCACTTTATGAATGTATTTACTTAAGTCACAAGACAGAAAGAACAGAGTGCTCTGATTCTATTAAGTATTTGAGTAACCATGCCCCAAATTAATGTAATTTTAAAATGTGACTATATCCCTAGGGATAAAAAGAAGTTATAGATAGGCAGAGATGGGTCGTGTGTGCCTAAGGCTGAGATGTACTACTATATTTCAGCTTTTTCACTATTGATTTAATTACTTACCTTGTTTCTTACATTGGGAAAGAATAAATCCTTTCTAGAGTTCCATTGAGCTACAATGGGTGAATGTAGAGGTAAGAATGAACAATCAGGTTAAAACATAACAGTCATAATTTATTCTTTAAGCAAGCATTATTTTATACCGACCATGTGTCAAGCATAGAGCTAAATATTATGATTACAACCATGAAAATGACACAGTACCATCTTTTAAGTAGATGCCAGCCTGGAACATTGATTGTCAATAACTTTTCTTTTGTGTGCCAACTCCTGTTAAGTTCTTTGGGGCTACCTGGAATACTGCAGTGATGGCTTGTGAATGCTGTGATCACTTCGGCAGTGAGAATTGGCTAGGAGAGTGACAGCACCCATGTCACATATGTATCAATTTTGACTCAGTATAGAAATGAGTAATTTGCTGTGTAAAAGCATTAGAACTATAAAAAGTGCCTTTTTTCAGTGCTTATGTGATAGCAGTATCTGAAACCCATTCCAGCTCGCTCACACCAAGAGTTGTGATTGATTATAGAGATGCAGGGGTCTTCACATCACTCGTTATCAGGACATTGATCAGGGATCATGAGTGACTAGAACAAGAAACTGGAAAGTTGTCAAGAACCATGGCCATGATTTGTTTTTATGAGTTTTCTCTGTTTCCATGTGCAGTGAAGAAGTTGCCTAGCTCACAGATCCCAAGTTTAAATGTGCTCCCAGCTAACGTACTTAGCAGGAGCCTGCTAGCAGGTCTCAGCCCTGTTTTCTAAGCAAGAGAGGCAAAATCTAAGTCTGATGTTCTCTCCTGACTCAGTCAGCGATGCCCAAGGTACCTGGTCACATTGCTCAGATGTGGCTGCTCAGCTACCACGGAGGGGCGTAATTCTGAAAGAAGATGGTTATTAATTTGGGTCCCGTCCACCCAAAGTCTCTATTACAAGAAGTATGTTCATGTGGTTGATTGATTCAGTCTTGGGACTGGGAAAAGTTGGAAGGGAAGAGACCTTCGAGAGGCTCCTTACATCAGTCTCTATGGGATTTCCTATATGGAAAAAAGACGGCAGGGACAGGAAGGCCTTCAAGAGAGAAGGGATAGGTTGTGCAAAGACGAGACAGCCTGGGACTGCATGGCATGCTTGAAGAGTGGGAAGCAGTTTAATCCCACTGAGGCTGGGTAGAATGGGGCTGGGTGCTCCATCCTTATGGCCACTACCTTGGATTTAGGCCACCATCACCTCCTTCATAGAGCATTCGAGACACCCCATGGTCTGGGCCATGCTTCCCTCTTCAGGTTCATCTCTTGTCCCTGGCCCCTTCACCCTCTGAGGTCCAGCCTTCTGGAGACACACCTTGTCCGTTTTCACTTCTGGCCTTTTGAAAGCATCACTCTTTATACATGGACTATTTCTTCCTCCTCTTCTCTTGGTCAGTTGATAGCCAACTTAGATCTCACATCCTCCAAAAAGCCTTTGCAGATCCTCCTACCCTGAGTTAGGTGCTCCTAAGGCAAACGTCCTATACTCACCATCAAGTTTTCAGTCACATTTGCCATCTTACTTGGTGTTCCCCACACCAGCTTCCCCACCATACCTTGAAAAATGCTTAAGAACAGCATCCCGGTGTCCGGCACCTGATAGATACCCCAAAGTGTTTGCTGAATGTTGCTTTCAAATGGTAGAAAGTGGGCTATGAAGGTGTCTTGGGACAGTTAGGACTTCCGATTACTGTGCTGGGTTGGGGGACTTCTATCTTGCAGTCCAAGTCAGTTCAGAAGGTATCATTTTAACTGGTTCCAGAAAACAAACAAACACAGAATAATGCTTTGAATGAAACTGATAGTTATATGCTTTTTAAAGAAACTTCTTTTAAGAGTCTGATAAATCACAAAATTCTAGTTTGCTAGAGTTTGAATTGGGCCTTGCAAACACAATATGAATTACAAGCTGTTTTTTCCTTCTTGGGCTCCTGCATATGGATGGAACACTGTGAGGTCAGTTTTCTGGAAACTTTTGGCAGCGGAATGTGTTTCTGTCCCTCTGCGCCCTGGGCTTAAGCCATCCATCAGCTGTGCCACTGGAACTACAGACCAGCTCATCTGTTAATTGGTGGCACATGTGCTGGGCCCTGGAGCCGGCCCCACACCCGAGCAGAGCTTTCCTCAAATACCCTTGTCAGCTGCCGGGCTGGCAGAAGAAGTAGAACGCCACTGCCGCACTGCCGCCTACAAGGACACGTGAGATTACGGGTGGCTGTAAGCGACGCCCTGAGCTTGTCTTACGCACCTCGTCTGGAGCCCGGCTCTAACCAAGTCTGCCCTGCCTCGTTCATGTACAGCACTGTCATCAACTAGACCTTGTGTATTTTCTCTACCAGCAATAACTGTTGAACCCTTAAGTCCTAGAACGTTACAGCCATAGGGGTTTTAAAAGGCATCTAATCCAAAGTCTTGACATGTTACAAATGACAAAACCCAAGGCAGAGAAACCATGAGCAATGTACCAACCGTTACCCTGGTGTAGCTAACTTGTAACTTAAGTTGAAACAGCCTCACCTAGCACTGTCCAAGATAATGCAAGCAGCAAATGTAATTAATTTTAATGGTACTGGTAGCTACATTAAAAATATATATAAAATCAAGTGGAATTAATTTAAAAAATGTATTTAACCAAAGGTAGCCAAGATATTATGTTAACATATATCCAATATAAAATTAATGAGATATTTTATATATGTATTTTTTGAACTAAGCCTTTGAAGTCCAGTTTGTATTCACACTGACAGCACATCACAGATTGGACTGGCCATGCTTCTCATGCTCAGTAGTGACATGTGGCTAGTGGCCACCCTACTGGACAGGGCAGTTTGTGTTCTCTCTATTCTACTGAAATCTGTGTGTAAGCAAGCATGACCTTTGTAAAAAGCATTTATTTGTGAGGTTGATAAAAATTCAATAAGTTACCATTATTTAACTACAAAAGGCAAGTGACCTTGTTTAAGGTCACAGACTAAAAAAAGATTAGTTTCCTATCTGTTCTTATCTTTCATCTTTTTGCTTAAAATAGTAATGTTATTATAGGTAACTATGTCACATGATTTTAGCTATCAGTTGGGAAAAAAATTCCCCTGGGTGCCTAAAGTAAGTCAAGAATTGCCTTGGGAGCCTTCTGTTCTGTGGTTACTTAGTAACCAAACTTAAAAATGGGAACTCCCCAAGCATTCAGAGTACCTTAAACCACCTAAATGCTGATAAAATCTCTCCGCTTATTAGGCTTAGTGTATTTTAAGTATTCTGTAAGAAATATTCTCAAAATTTTTATCTTAGATTCAGAGTATCCTAGATTGAGTTGTAAACTATTTTTTTCCAAGTATGATTGAAGCATTCCAAGCATTCCAAAGTCACCATTTGCTTAAAAAGTAAACACAAACACAAAAACATTATAGCCATCTACAAGAAAGGAATTGTCCTTTCTGATTTTTGAGAGAAGTTGGAGTTGGAAAAAAATATCTTACTTTCTTAAATATATCACAGTTATCTAAGAATCTTAAAACAAAGAGCATTGCCATTCAGTGATTGGCTTGTCCTGCCATAGGTTGCACAGGAAATATTGAAAAGAGGTTTTCCTTATTCCATGAAGAAGCCATTTAGAAACACTACTGAAACATCCTTTTCTTGAATCCATAAGTGATGCCGGGAGAATTTATATAATCTTAGTTCTATGGCGCTGGCCCCTCCAGAGTCATTACCGATGGGAATGATCTAGTACTTTCTGACCTTCTTGGCCACTTTGAGTGGCCATTTGTACATGTTGTCTTGTAAATCTGTGTACTGAGTATCTGTGTGCTTTCTATAATAGGAAGAGAGAAAGCACTGCCTTTTACTGTGTACCTACTGTATGCCAGGCAGTCTGCTAGGTACGTGACATGTAATTTCGTATAATCTTGACATTAACCCAGCAAGGTAGCTATCTTATCTACATTTTACAGACAGGTTCGAGTTGCAGAATTACCCAAAGGTGTGGGGCTGTAGAGTGGTGGAGCTGAGGTGAAAACCAGGTTTGTCTGATGAAAGTCCACACCCTTCCCACAGCACAATGCAGCTGCTCTACTCATAGTGTCCTCCTCTGGACTGTAAGCCTCTCCTGGAGAAGGGCCATGGTTTCTTTCTTTGGCTTTCCTGGGCTCAACTTGTAGTGCTTTTCTCATTAAAGTTGTGGCAGGCCATAAACAGCTCAGAGTGAATCAGAAAATGTTACAGAAGTAGGGCGTGCACCAAAGGGCAGTGTCTGTCTGACGGTTTCCTCACTGAGCCACACAGCTAGGAGGGGGGTCAGCAGGCTTCTCTTGTGGTGACTAAACGTCATTTTACTCATTAAAACATGTTAACATATTGGAAACATGGTTCTTTTGCTGTCAAATCATGCCTGAAGGATA